AACAGAGCAGATACAATAGGCCTTCGCAGCGCTTTCGCTGCTCGGGCCTAATAAAAAAAGAAAGTGGTTCCCCGCATTTGTCTAAAAACCCCAGCCGATAGCGTGGCTTGGTCTGAAACCAACTATTGGACCATCTGGCTGTCTGTCTCATTGAACCACCACACTTCCACACTTCCCTGGGTCCTCCACTTATTATGCAATCATGTATTTAGCAACTGAACACCACTGATGTTAGAGGATCTTCACTCAATAATATCAGAGAAGGAGAAACAGCCGGCTGCTAATGCTTCAACTTTAGGACAAAATACCAAAGTCCCAAAAAGAAAAACGGCATTTGAAGTCACAGACAACTATAATGTTTGGATGTAGAAAATGGCGACTGGTGTTTAGCACTCTCTCATTTCCTCTTGCAGTATGGATTCCTGTTTAAGGTGGATGTGGCCTAAGGGATCATAGGCCGTGTTCGAGATGAGCCAGTTCTGCGCAGATTAGATCATCTGTGATCGGCGTGCAGTGTTTACCGGTTAGATTTGTGTCCGTCTTGACGCCGACTTGCTCTGACGTCATGCCTACGTAGGCAACGATAACCTCGTGAGATCAAGGCAGCTGTAGATTTTGGAGCATGGCGCTGCAGTTGCTCTCCACCGGCTGCAAAACCTAGGGCATGACAGGAAACACCTGGGTCTCACCTGATCTAAGACCTGATTGGTTCACATTTTGATCCGAACATCCGATGGTAGACCATGAAGTGTTAGTTGGTCACATGTATTCTGTAAATCATGTTACGTTGATGTTGACAACTATATAGGCCATAAAGAAAAATGTGATTTGTGTTCTTTTGTTACGTTTCCTATAAGCACACCAAAACTACAGCTGATAACCTTTACTTATTATTACATTCATGTCTCCATATGCATTATATTATATCCACAAGCATGTGAGGATGTGTTTCGGTTGCTAATAGGCACCAGAATTAAAATAAAAAATTAAACAAGTATGAACACTAACGCAATATCTTCATCCATCGTCACCCGTGAGCTACACATGTAGGGAAATCTGTCCGACTTAAACGCAGGCTTTCAGCCACTCCCCCTGCTGCGTCAGTCTGCTCTCGTCTGTTTTCCAGGCCAGGCACTGTTCATCTCGAACAAGGCCATAGCCAATGGGAGAGGTGAGAGTTTCATTTAATTTAATTTAATTTCATTTCATTTAATTTCATTTATTTATAAAGCCCCTTCTGCGACCAATGCAGACTACCAAGATGTTGAACACAACACAATAAAAACATAAAATCATCAGAATGAAATATAACAATCGTAAAACCAACATAAAATCAATTAAAAGAGGAGAGTAAAAGCAAAAAATTAAATCCTGAAAAAGATAAAGAGGCCGGGGCATCGAAACCGGGTAAAATTTGCAAATCCTGGAAGGCCTCGACAAAAAATTAAGGCGAGTCTTAAAAACCCCCAATGAGGGTGACTGATGCTCCACCAAAGGCAACTGGTTCCAAAGTGCAGGTGCCAACACCGAGAACGCACGGTCCTGCTGTGACCTGCACTTGGTGCGTGGAACGATCAACAGCTCCCTGCTGGCTGAGCGAAGGGCCCACAAGGGGGCATATCTATGCAAAAGGTTGCCAAGATATGCTGGAGCACTTCTTTGTAAGGCCTTGTATGCCAGTACCAAGACCTTGAATTTTGCCCTGTATTGCACAGGCAGCCAATGAAGGGATGCCAACACAGGGGTGATATGTTCCATGTGCCTAGTGCCTGTCACGAACCTAGCGGCTGAGTTTTGTACTAAACACTGAGTTCTGTGTCCGACTTGGTTTGCAGATTTACTTTTGCAGCTTCAATCCTAAGCAAATTGTTTTTTTATGTTTTTTGTGAAAAATGCATCAGCTGGAGCTTTTGACAAGTAATTAAAAATTCCGCCCACATTTTTACAGTTAACACACATCTCTTTTAACAACGGTAGTTTTTGCATCTTTACTGTTCCCCCGCTTCAGCCCTCCCCCCTCCCTGCGCAGCGGCCGCAAACTTACTGATGCGCCTGCAGCCTCTCAGAGTTGCTGCTGCTCTAAACATTGAAATAATAATTTCAATTTCTGTTCCTCACTTCTGTGGCAATGATTACCTTCAATGGTGTCAGTTTGTTGCAACCAGGTACAAAAACAAACTTGTTTTTATTTGACAGTTTTTCTGTCCTATCTGTCTATTATCTTTCTGCATCTCCTCTCAATCCTAAAGAAAAACTGCAACCTGGCTTCATGTATTTTTACCTTATCAATTACCTTTGAACTGCTGTGCGTGCGAGCCGCACCAGTGAGGTGAAGTCACCAGAGGACAAAACAGGTGATGTGCTCCGCTCCACAGCAGCAAAACGCACCAGACACAAATAAAAGACAGAAAGCATGAATGGATATGAGCCAACATAAATGATCACATGTAAAATAATTTTTTTGAGGTGGCGACACTTTGAGAATGTTACTGTTGCCGTGCTCAGCATGCAGCTGTCTGTAGCGCGTCAACGATCAGAGCTCTGCACCTTTCAGCTCAAAATAATCCCCAGAGAGTCCACATGAATAATGTAATATAAGTAGAACCAGGATTGTTTTCGAGCTCCCCCTGGGTGTATAAGTTAAAGGCTTCCTGGAGCTCCCTTTTGCTCACCCGTAATTTGGACCCTGCATATCACACAAGTTGATTGCGTGAGTTGCCGGAACCTAGCAGATAGTTGCCGGAACGGTCCTTTCAAAATAAGACAGTTCCCGGATCTTGTTCAGTTAAGATTCGGCTCAAATTAACCCCAGGGGATTTCTATAGGTATATGTTACGAAGCCTAACGACTTGGCATCATTTTTTTCATTTTCAACATTTCGATGGATATTTTCAGAGATTAATGGTAAAAACTACACATTGTCTCTTTAAAACTTTGTCCATGGCTGCAACTACAAACATTTAAATTAGCAGTAGGTAAGACTTGACAATGTCTACCTGGCCTGACAATGGGAACCCCTTTGTAACCAGAGGATTGCAGGTTCAAGCCTCGCTCAGGCCATTGTAATTGTACTGTCCTTGAGCAAGACACTTCACCCCCCTTGCCAGCTGGTGTATGGCAACCTCACTTCTGTCAGTGTGCCTCTGTGCAGCTGTGGCTACATTGTAGCTCATCATCATCAGTGTGTGAATGTGTGCAGGTGTGGATATGAATGGATGAATGATTCACTGTGAGAAAAGCACGATACAAGTACAGGTACTTTATTATTCCCATGGTTTTTGTGTGTGCGGATACCAACAGAATCAGTTCAGCATTCAATAACTGTGAGCTAACTATCTGGTGAAACTCAAAAGAGGAAACCTATTTTCTTGGCCTTAGTTAAGGAAGGAAGAGCATACATAATGTTTAGATTTTATAAGATTTACAAGTTTTTCTCAGTGATCACCCTAGACACCGACATGTTTTGTGAGAACTTTAAAGGCATACCGGTCATTTTTATTGAATGAGCCCTGTAAGGCCTGGCTCCAGCTCTGTGGCAGTACTGACTGACAGGAGGGTGTTTAATTTGTATGTTAGTCATCATGAAGATTCATGGTTCTCAAAATTGATGACAATGATGCTCTTCATGATCAAAAAAATCTTCAACTGAAAACAGCTGGGACATGTTAGGTGCAGGATGCCTCTCTGTGATTGTAATGAGCACTGATGAGCAGAACTAAAAGGATATCCAGATCAATTACAAAGGCAGACTTTAAAGAGAACAAACAGAGAGGAACAGAACTTTATTTAGTCACAGTCTGAGAAAACTGAAGTAAACATGGACTTAATAGGCACTCAAACCCCAAACAGCCTGTCCCGGTAGCCAAAGGCTACTAGCATGTAGCCTACATAGTTATAACTGCAGCCTGGAGCCCTCAGCAGATTGTCAGCAGCCACACATATGCCAAAGGTCAAAGTTCACCGCTAAGCCCATGGTGCACTGGGGCACCTCAAAACAATAACACAGCCAAATGTGTTAAAGTTACGGTACAAAATTCCAGATTTCATCTTTCACCTGATAATCTACGACTTTTATGCAGTTTAGAAATCAAAGAAAAAGCAAAAAATTGAAAGTTTGTTAGAAATCTGTGGAAGTCAATCAGTAATCTATGGTGCAAACCTTTGGTGTAAGCGACTTTGGCATTGTGACCTCGAGGCTGGTGACGTGTGAACTTGCATATTATTGTTTCTTCTCTTTAAACTTCTGTTCTTGTGAAGTGCTGCGTGGTTTTTATCTTGAGAAGTGTCATGTAAAAGATTGTTTCTTTTTCTTTTTCTTTCTTTGCATTTATTAAACAACGTTTTCCTAATTCTAACTTGTTATTGTCTGAAATTCAGTATAGAGAAGAATAAAAAGTCATGCTAAAGAATATCAACTTGTCCTGGTAGGTTAGCCTGCAAGCAAACTTAGATTATCTGTAAACACATTCGCCTGACTCAAATTAGCCTGGAAGAGAAGTGATGCAACTACATTTTCAAATCTTTTCTGTCTTTTTTTCTTCTCCTTGCTTACAGAACCCACATACTTTTCATGTAGACTAAATGCTGCATGTCTGATTAAGATGTTGTCTGTGTATTTCTAACTCCTAAACTCTGGAGCAGAGTTAGTGATCTGGAAATATAAACATCATTATTTAAAGAAAGACAATAAAAATCCCTCAGTGGGATAACATTCTTGGCTAAAAAGAGCTTTATAGTATTTCTTTAGTCACCTTGTGTGTGTTTACTTGAGGTCATGAAAGGTCACATTCTGTAATCATGGAAACTGTGAGTCACTTTTCTTGCCCATTTGAAAGGTATTTTGGATGGTCTGTAAAGATTAAAGCTCATCTTCTAGGAAATAAACAAAAGGATATTTTAAGGTTGTTTTGACTGTGAGCTTGTTGAGGAGAGTGGTGCAGCAGGGGAATATACAGGTTGGAGTTCCACACCAATAAAAAATATCTTGTATTTCTTTGCAGGGCAAAGTATTTCCGGGGCAAAAAGCTGAACGGAGAATACGAGATCCGAGTGGAACAGGTAGGCCTAATTTTGACGTATTTTGGATGATGTATACAGTTTTGTGGTTGATGTGCAGTCAGCTTGTTTTTGCCAATGATGAAACTTGACACCAGAGTAACATTGTGCCTTCTTGAAAACAAATAATTTGGGAGAGTGGATTAAGTCTCTACACCTATAGTGCATTACTAATTTCATGTTTAAAAAATTAGTGCTTATTCACACAAAATCTTTTGGAAGAAATTCATCGTTATATCGACTGAATAGCAGTAGTTCAGGAGGTAGAGCGGGTTGTCCAGTAATTGGAAGGTTGCAGGTTGGAACCCGGCTCCTACCAGAGAATGCTGCTGTTGTGTCCTTGGGCAAGACACTTGCCTTGCCTGCTGGTGGTGGTCAGAGGGACTGGTGCCGCTAGTGTACCGCAGGCCTTGCCTCTGTCAGTGCGCCCTAGGGCAGCTGTGGCTATCGGAGCTCATCCCCACCAGTGTGTGAATGTGTGTGTGACTGATTGTGTTGTGAAGCGCCTTGGGGGGTTGTAGTACACAAATACAGGCCATTCACCATATAATAAAAACCCTAATTGACTTATTATCATGAAAAAATATTATAACCACTTCATTGATGCATAGAATTTTCCTTTCTCCCCATATTTTCCTTCATTTTGATGAACACACCCATCTACTCACAGTGCAGCCTGGAGGAGGTTATGGAGCCATATGCTAGAGCTGGCATATTCCACCAATACATTGCAAACAAACAATAAAATCAAGGCTGTTCTGCTATACATGTTCCTCTGTCACCATTCATTACCCATTGCTCTACCAAGCTGCATCCACATTCATTACCCCTAGCAAGGCGCTATCCAAATACAGGCCATTTACAATGCTGTTCTTAGTGAGGTAGAACAAATACTACTTCTTGGCGACAAAGTGGCAATGACATTATCCAAAACCATCATAGAGCCACAGCTCTCTGTCTTCTGTAACAACCCCCCAAAAACCTCAATGAAAATCAGGGGGTCAAATGCAATGGCACTGTCTGACCCAACCAAATGGGTGGAGATTAACTCATTACTGTTAAAGAATGGATGAAGAATGGTAATGGAACCTGCTGAAGCAGTCCTTGCAGTCAAATGGTTTGACAGTAAATGTCAATATTCTGAGCACTGCATCTGGGATCATGCCTATTACAAGTGTCAAATGATGGAGTAAAGATCGATGCCCATCTCCAGTTCAAGTTTACAATCACCATATGGGAGGCACTCATCTCTCAGACATGCTGGTGCACATGTCCAAGTCCTCAGCAAAATCATGGTGATGGTATTTTCTGCTGTTTGGTTACATCCTTGACCTGTGTATCTCAAATGCTCGGCTTGTTCTCAAGATGGACTGTGCCTTACTGAATGAGAAACTGCTCTGTCTATAAAGGTTCCATCTGGCAGTTTGCCTACAGCTCGATGCAGGTCAACAAGCTCGCAACAAAAGTTGGCCAAACATCCTCATCTTTTCCACCTCAAATATTGCTTCAGGAGAAACGTTAGAGACCAGAACCTTCACGTTCACAACCAGATGTGTGTTAGGATAACTTTGGACACCAGCCTCTTCACTGGTGTAACCTCTGTCCAAAGGGAGTGTCAAGATGGAAATATCAGAAGTGCAAAGTGTTCCTGGGCCTGAATGCCCCCCCAGCAGGGCTTATTTGCATGTCACCAGAAATAAAGGGAATCTAGTGTGCGGTTGGTTCTGTGGCACTATAACACTGGGTTTACTCAGCTGCTAAGTTACAGAAGTATATAACAGTTTTATTAATCTTTTAGTAATTTTTTGAATTCAAAGTTTTACCATGAATGAAAATCCCATCCGTTAGATAGAAGTCTGTGGGCGTTTCTCAATGTTAAGGCACCTGGCCTTGCGAGGCGATATCTTGCGAGGCCAGGCACCTTGCTTATGAGGACACTGTCCTTTCTTGGCCAAAGAAAACGGTTAAATGGAACAGACTTGCATCATGTGACCTCGGCTTCCACGGCAGTCATGTAACGTCACGTGACACGGGAGACAACGTTATATTTTATACATATTAGTTTCAATATAAATATATAACGAGGCTTTTACTTTTAAAATTGTGTATATATTTATTAAATTAAAAATATAAGTAAGTTACTACCCGCTAGCCACAGAAGCCGCAACTACTAAGCAACTAACCAACAATAGATAACTTCTTTGGATCTAAAAAAACACATTTTAAATTAGCTGACTTACTTTTAAACTTGAAAATAGTCCCCAAAGTAGCTGCCTGCTTCTGATCCGCCATCCTTTTGAAAATACTGCGGTGTATTCTGGGTAATTTTTGACCAAGGCTAGGCTACAAGACACCTCCCGTGTATCCTCGCTCCGCTAGCTAAATGGCTAACAAACGGAGAACACACGCCTCAGACAAGAACATTGGAACACATCTTGGCGGCTCCCGATGACGTATCTCCTAGGCAACCGGGGCGGGGCCAAGACTTCAGGGCAAGGTTCCTTGGAATTGAGAAACACCCTGTTTCAAAATTATAAATTGTATGAAGGAAGGAAGAGAAAATTCAAAAAAATATTTATTTAATTGCAGTTTTCTTGATGTGAACATCAAAGGGTTAAGCTCCTTAAAGCCCCCGTGTGTGATATTTTTACCAGTTTACTATAAAATCCTGTGTTTCCAGTTCACAAACTTGTCCTTCTTCACTAATATTTCTCACCAATATCAATTCTAAATATTCCTCTGAACTTGAAATTATACATTTTTTATACATAAACTGTGGTCGACGCTCCATGGTCATCCACCATCTTAAAATGCAGTAGCTGTTTAGGGACATACTGTACGAGCTCCACGTTACCCGTTTGGACTGTGACTGTAACCTAAATGAACCAGCAAAGAACAAGGTTCAAAAGAAGAGGTGATAGGGCCTTTTTGGTCCTTGCTCCAACACTATGGAATGAGCTCCCACTTGCTGTCAAACAGTCCCCATCACTGCAGGTCTTCAAGAGCCGATTGAGGAGTCATTTTTATTGTTAGGCGTTTATATAATATGGACTTTTAGATTTTTAGTTTTTTAATCGTATCTGTCTCATCATTTTTGTCATTTTTGATGCAGTTTTTAATCTGTCTATTTGCTCTTTGACTGTTTTTATGTCATGTTCAGCGCCTTAGGCTTCTATAAAAGCAGTGGAAGCCGCTATACAAATAAAATTTGATTGATTGATGATTGATTGATGATTGATGATTGATTGATTGATTGATTGATGATTGATTGATTGATTGATTGATTGTTTGATTGATTGATTGATTGATTGATCTACCTCAAAGGACTTTTCTGTCTGACAGTGAAAGCCTTTTTTAAGATTAAAGCTGTCATTCAAAAGCAAATGTGAGCATAGATAGGATAAAAAGCAGAGTTGTTTGCTCAGATTGCCTCTATTGTAGTCACATTTTCTGTTTATATTTTCTATTTTGAACTCATGGTTATTAAACCCCATTTGAGAGATTTAATGAGGCCTCTAAAGTCAGTATTTTGGGGGTAAACCAGCACTCTACTGCACAGCCAAACTGACCTACTTAGATCTTTATGGACCCTGGACTTTTTCTCATAAATCCTCTGCAGAATAAAACCTCAGCTGCTAATAGCTTTTAGCAGCCAGAATCCTCACAGTGTTGGTGTATGTTGCTGATCTGTAGGAGGAAGGAAACTTGATCGTTGTGAGAACAGGAAGCAATAAGCAAAAATGAAGTGAAGCACATACTTAATTCCAGTCTCTTGTTTCCTGTTCTAGTCAGCGTTTTTCATTTCCTGACAGCGACTCCTACCTTTCACGAGGGTGGGTCTGCTTAACCCTCTCAGGCTCACAATAAGTTTTGTTAAAAGGACGAACAACTAAGTCCTTCAGGGGTACTTCTGAGTTAAAAATGCTCATGAAACACATATGTGGAGTAACCAGGTAGGTAGGTTTTAATGTTGCAAATCTGCAATGCCTGTCTCCAGAGGGTTAAGATGCACAGAAAAAAATTTGCCCTTTTTTCTCATGTTGTCACCCCCCCGAAAAAAGAAACGCCCTAAATGAATCAACACTTGACTCCGAAGTTGTTTGCTGTTTTCCAGCTCCCATGCTGATGTGGTGTATGCTTTCTGACTAGTGCCTATGGGTCTTCCCCAGTATACCATAGGTAACATCATTGGCCAAGCACAGACCTGCCACAGCTTGATGCTACAGAAAATAAGTCTGATGCCAATCTTTGTTTAAAGGAGTGGGTTAGGGATTTTATTATTATTATTATTTTTTGCAATGGTCTCTAGTATGAATGAACGCCTTGCAGGCAGAACTCGGGGCTCAGAAAAGCCCACAAACCCCTGGCCCAGCAGAACCAGTCTGCGACGTCAGAGCTGTGCTTAAACCACAAACATATATAGGTAGACGTCCCGTGGACTGGCACTGCCTATTTGTGCTGCCGCAGTGGTCGGCCGCCATCTTAGTTGGGTCTCCATTCGCCCTCAGTGGATTCATTTCTACAGAGGAAGGTGCTTACCCAACTAAAAAACAGATTTTGTAATGCTTTTTCAAAAAATCTGACATAAGGTATGGCAGGATAATTAAAATAGAAATATAATGTAACAACATTTTTTAAAATTAATTAAAATCTAAAATCCCATCTGGTAAGCTTGAAAAGTCAATAGTAATATATGATCTATTTTCAATAGTACGCCAGTTGTTTCAACCATAGGCTGCACAAAAACAGGAATAGTTGCCCACTCTGCACTGACTTTGGAGCGTGAGGAGACCCATCCAATATGGCAGCAACACTGTTACCCTCTTCAGCCTCCAATGGGGTGTCTACGTATTCATGTCTATGCTTCAAACAGGAGGATTTGGAGCGTTATCTTCTGATGTTTAGGCCCAATCCCAATTCTCTCACTTCCACACTTGCGCCCTACAATTGCGCGACCCCGACCAGGGGTGCGAGTGTGTAGGGTGTCCTGATTCTCAAGTGCA